ACAGCATCTTAGGTTTGTTTAGTACATCCCCATCAGTGGTGTTACCCTTTGATCTTTTACTTATAAATTCTGCGTCCGATACTAGCTCGCCCACTAACACCTGAAGAAGGAGTAAGACTCCGAAACCTTAAATTTTCAAATAGACCTGTTGGACTATAAGCCAGTGTCGTATGATTTCTGACCTTGTCCACCCCGGTCCAATACTGTCACCTCCACATCTTAATTCGATTATGTAGCTACAGCACTAGGAGAGTTTGGTTAAGCTTTCCTTAGGGGTGAAAGGAAACAAAATACAACCCTTAAATGCCTACCCTTCCCTTATCCACAGTTTTAAATTTTAGGATAGCAAAAGGTGAAAATTTATACTCTTAAACTCCCACGCTTTGCTCAATTCCATGCGTCTGCACTTTCTTGCCGGTCGCACTTTGTGTGGAGAGAGGATAACTGCTTTAGGTGGGATTGTGTCAGCTGTAGCCGGAGTTCGTTCAGAGAATGATGCAAAGCATTAACAGACAATAATTAGTATTCTTAATTTGAGAAAAAAGTTAAACCTGTATTGAATATATAAGCAAAACCGATAGGTCTCAAATTCACATTATCGCGACTCCTCCTGCCATGTCATGAAATATGTTCTGCAAATAAGCGATACATTTTACTGAAGGCAATCTGTATTCTGAATGACCAATTCCTGAACTATAACTTCCGAAGCAATCTTTAAGTTGAATATGCTTTTAACATTGACCACAGCATCGAGGTTGATGTTTATATTGGAAGGTAATCACTGGTGAGAATGCAATCCATTTTGCAATCACTTCGCTCTCATTTTTGGCTTTGAGTTCTACAATCTTACGAAGAACATTCAGAATGTTAAATGTGCACTGTATTAAAACCGTGTTAGTCAAAATTTTGTTCGATACATTCACTTGCAAGTACTAACCTGTCTCTGCAGTAATGATTTTGAATGGCAGAGCAATATTGTTGATATGTTGCCCAGTGTTAGTCATTTAAAAACGACAATACAAAAGTACAGAGATAGTAAGAACTGCAGATGCTGGAGTCAAAAATAACACAGTGTGGAGCTGGAGGGGCACAGGGTCGGGACGCTTGCGTCAACTTTCCTGCTCCTCTGATGCTGCCTGGCCTGCTGTGCTCCTCCAGCTCCACACTGTGTTAATACAAAAGTGCATATTCAACTGCACATAACTTTATTTTAAACAAAGTATATGTTAACTAAAACGGCAGTTGTCATTGTTGGATTTTGTAAAATTTCGCTATGATCCATGTGCGTCTTTGGCGAGAAAAAGGTTTATGCCTAGTCACTGCCGAGAAAATATTGTTGAATCTTCTTCTACAAAAACCGTAACCAGCTGGTGCTGGTCCACCTCCAGTGCTGTCGGCATGAATTTGAATGATATTGATTGAACACGAATGGAATAAGCAACGAAAGCTGAGTGCGACTTGGAGGGCAACTTTCGCAGCGATCTATAAGTTCGTGACGACAGCAACGCGGTGGGACAGGTACTTAACAACGACGAGTCAAAATACAGAAGGGAGATAGAGTGGTGAGATGAGAACAACCTCTCTCTCAACGTCAGCAAAACTAAAGATCTCACCATTGACTTCCGAAAGAAAAGAGGAGAACATGCCCCCGTCTAAATAACAGAACTGAGGTTGAGAGGGTGAAGAGCGTCAAAGCTCCTCGGAGTGACGATAATCGGCAATCTTCCCCGGACTTTCCACTAAGATGCGACAGTCAAGAAGGCACAACAACGCCTCTTCTTCAGGCAGCTCAGGAAATTTGGCATGTCCATAAGGACCTCACTGTCTTGTTAGATGCACAAATGAAAACATACTGTCCAGGTGCATAACGGCCTGGTATGGCAACTGCTCTGCCCAGGACCAAAAAAGCTACAGAAGGTGGTGTACACAGCCAAAATCATCGCGGAAGCCAACCTCTCATCCTTGGACACCAGTTAAATGGCTCGCTGCCGTTGAAAGCCTGCCAACATTATTAAAAACCCATCGCAACGCGGTAATGCTCTCCTACAACTTCGTCCGCCAGGCAGAAGATACAGATTTTTGAACACATGCTTCAGCAGGTTGAGCAACAGCTTCTTCTCGGCCGTTATTAGATTGATGAATAGACTCTCTAGCCTCAAACAATGCTGATCTTGCTAACGTTGATCTCGCCCAGCGCACGCCGTGTGCAGTGTAACCTCTATGTTTCTGTATAAGTCTTTTGATCTGCATATGCGTGCTTATATGCTGCTCGTAAACAAAGCGTTTCACTGTATTCGGTACAGGTGACAATAAATCAAATGATCGATCGATCAATCAATCAATCAATCAGAAGATTGACCAATCGTAGGACGAATGCCTCAGAGCAAAATGTAACGCCCAGAGAATTGTCATGATCTTGAACACGCTGGCTGAGCGGCTGGTAGTAACGCATTGAACAGTCAACATTCAAAAAACTATTAGTTTAAGATTTGAAGGGGAAACGTAGTATTAGCTGTCCCAATGACAAAATGTGAACATTTCCATCTAAATAGATAACAGTATTATTTCCTTTGTTTTAGATTCCACATGCTCTTTGCTCAGAACCTTGTCCTCTCGGAACAAGAAAGGTCAGCAGGAAAGGTCAGCCGGTATGTTGTTTTGATTGCGCAGAGTGCGCCGATGGTGAGATTAGCAACACTACAGGTATGTACAAACGTGGAGCCGAATGCTATGTTATCTTGTGGACAATATCATTTTCGAATTAAAAAAAAATGATACTTTCATTGTTTCAGATTCCACCGATTGCATGAAATGTCCTTTGGAATACTGGTCGAATCAGCAAAAAGATCAATGTATCCCCAAAAAGATTGAATTTCTTTCTTTTCAAGAGGCTCTGGGCTACTTCTTAGTAGCACTTGCTTTAGTGGGAGTGTGTCTTGCACTGGCTGCAGCTACGATATTCTTCCGGTATCGGGAAACCTCTATCGTCCGAGCGAACAATTCGGAGCTGAGCTTCCTCCTTCTCTTTGCGCTAACGCTTTGCTTCCTGTGCTCACTTACCTTCATTGGGAAACCGACCGGATGGTCCTGCATGTTGCGGCGGACTGCGTTTGGAATTGTATTTGTTCTCTGTATTTCCTGCATTTTGGGGAAAACCGTTCTTGTTGTAATCGCTTTTAAAGCAACTCTTCCCAACAACAACTTGATGAACTGGTTCGGACCGATGCAGCAACGGTTAAGCGTATTCGTCCTCACATTTCTTCAAGGTTTAATTTGTACGATCTGGCTCATTGTATCACCTCCATATCCAGTGAAAAACATGACCTATTATAGAGATATGATAATTTTGGAATGTGACATGGGTTCTTTAAAAGCCTTTTATTTTGTGTCCAGCTATATTGGTCTTCTGTCCACTGTATGCTTCCTGCTAGCTTTTCTTTCCCGGAAACTTCCAGATAATTTCAACGATGCGAAGTATATAACTTTCAGTATGCTGATTTTCTGTGCTGTTTGGATCACTTTTATTCCGGCTTATGTCAGCTCACCTGGAAAGTACACGGTGGCTGTCGAAGTGTTTGCTATTTGGGCATCAAGCTTTGGTTTGCTTGTCTGCATTTTTGCTCCGAAATGTTATATTATCTTACTGAAACCGGAGAATAACACAAAGAAAAACATGATGGGCAAAGGGTCTTCACTGTAATTCTAAGATTTCTCTAATTCTGCCCGCAAAATACTCAGTCTGGAGATTGTTGTTCCAATATTTACATTTGTTACTAAATTATCAATTTGCATTCATTTTCGATACCTTCTTGCGTTTGTTCTAATGAATACAAAAGCAATTTAATTCGATTTTGTAACAAGTTTATGAAGGCTGTTTTGTCGGCTGGTGCATTGGCGACGTTTCATGTTGATCTGGCTATGAATTCCACGCACAAGTGCACTTTGTTTACGTTGGCCTTTCTATTCGTTCGTAATGGTTTTCGTTGAACTCATTGACTGGGGTTATTTGCTGCTCAGTCTACTCGTTTATAGGTTACCGATGCATAATCTCCGCCTCGAATTATTATTCTACCATCAACCAATAGCTGCGAACGCTGAAGATCTGAAGCAGAAGTGGACAAGATCTGAAGCAAAATTGCTGGACAAACTCAGAAGATCCCACAGCATCTGTGGAAAGAAAACAAAGCTCACGTTTCGATTCTGATGACTCGTCGTGAGAACAGTTAAAAGCTAGGAAAGCCTGGTATTTATGTCGAAGCAGATATGGGGGCGAGGTGAGCGGACAGGCGGAGACCCAGTCGAGTCAGAGAGAAACGAAGGGATCGGTGAAGAAGAGATAGTGGATAGCAGACCAAGGGTTGAGGGGGAGGAACACCTGGATAAGAGATAATGGGTTAGCTCTACTGAACGAAACCCTTATGAATTGATAATAGGCTTAAAAGTAGGTGACTCCGGGTGACTGTGCCAAAGGCAACGCCGACCCGAAACGTCAGCTTTCCTGCTCCTCTGATGCTGCTTGGCCTGCTGTGTTCCTCCAGCTCCACATTGCGTTGTCTCCGACTCCAGCATCGGCAGTTCTTACTATCTCTGATATTACAAGAAGACGCGGTTTGGAATGGGTACAAAACATGGAATGATGGAATCAGGCTCTAAACTTATTGAATTCGATGTTGAGTGCGAGAAGCTGCAGGCCCGTAGTGGAAAATTATATTTAGGAGTTCTCGTGCAAATGCTATTAACAGAAAAAAAAAAATATAAATTTGGAAGGTAATAGGAAGATAAATATGTTTATTTCAAAAGGAATGGAATAATGTAGGCCTGCACTCATAGAGCGCAGAATAATGAGAGGGAACCTTATTGAAACATGCAAAATTCTTAGTGAACTTGATTGGGTGAATACAGAAAGTTTAGTTACCCTTGTGCAAAATATCGCAGCAGAGGGCTTAATCTCAGGATAAGAGGTGACCAATTTAACAGAGATGAGGTATATAAGAGCTGAAGAGAGATTAGACAGACAAGGGTTGTTTTCCCTAGAACGTGGGAGCTGAGACTGGACCTGATTGAGTCATATGAAATAACGAAGGTCATAGATATGCTAGATAGGAAGAAACGTTTCCCTTGGTGGAGGAATGAATAAACAAGGGTGTAGATGTAAGATAAGGGGCAGAAGCTTTAGAGGAGATGTGAGGAAAAACGTCTTTGCCCAGCAGGTGGTGGAAATCTGGAATTCACTGCCTGTTAGGGTTGTAGAGGTAGAAACCATCAGAACATTGAACAAGTATTCAGATGCGCACTTAAAATACTGAGGCTATGGGCCGAGAGTTGGTGATGGGACTAGAATAATTAGACGCTTATGTTTGACCAGCACAGATGTAATGAGCTGAAGCGCCATTTTCTGTGCTGTGAAGTAATACATTTAGCTGCGAACAATAGACTCTGTGAATGTCTTTACTCGGAGAGTAGTGAATCTATAGAATTCTTTACCGCAGAAGTTTGTTGAGGTTGCTCGTGAAGTGTAGTTGAGTACATGAGAGAGACCAATTTTGAATTAATGAAGGAATCAAAGGTTTTGGGTAAAAGGAAGGAAACTGGATATGAGGATTATGAGATCAGCCATGATCAGATCGATGGGGTGAATGGTCTACTTTGATCTAGTCTTAGTGTTGATCACGAGCAAGAATAAAGCTATCTACAATCCTGTTTCTGAATCGAAAATATAACCTTCTTGGGGTTTAAATGTTCACACTTTTATTCCACGTGAAAACCATCTGCAGAAATAGCGATTCATTAATTATGATTGGCCGCACCACTGAAAATGTCCCGTAAGCAAGTTGATTGCACAGTGTCTTAGAGATGCGATCTATTTGATCAGCCTATGGTGGTTCATCGGCTGTGAGGCACCGTGAGGTGTCTTCAGGTCATAACAGGCGCTATACAGCTCCATGTCTTTCTCATTCTATTTAATGTAGTGATAGGTTTCTTGCAAGTAAGGGATGACTTCGTTTCTGATAGTTCTGTTGCTTGCCGTTGCGCCTTTCGGGGAATCACCTGGAATGGGTTGCACGCCTCGAGCAAACGGCGATTTACCGAATTTGTCTGAACACCGTGATATAATTCTAGGCGGGATATTTTCATCACATTTAGACATGATTCATGATGTTCCTTAATTTAACGTCAGGCGATCAGACACGCTTTGCGAAAGGTAGGTCAAACAATCATAGAATCCCTACAATGCGGAAAGAGGCCATTCGGCTTCTTTGAGGAGCATTTAACCCAGACCAAGAACCCTACTTAGTCTCCGTAACCTCGCATTTAGCATGGGTAATCTACCTAAACTGCACATTCCTAGACAATACGGGCAATTTTACATGGCCAATCCACCTAGCCTGCTTATCTTAGGGCAGAGAAGTAAACAATTAAGACAGCATAATCCTCAAATCCTGATTTAACGTAACCTCGCGTCTCCAATAATTTACTGAATTCAGTGGGTAATCATCAATTGCAGTATTTAAACAGTTTTGTCTTTCTCCTTAACATGATTATGTTCTGATATTTTGATTGGAAGAAGTACTTCCACAGAATAATGGTCATTCTTAGCTGTCTACGTTGGTCGACAAATTCGAATTTCACTTCGATATTGCACATGATGTAAGGGGCAAGATGAGATCTCAACAAGAGTCATAACAGACTCGAAACGTTGACTCTGTTTCTCTCTTCTCAAGTGCTGCTGAGATTCTCCAGTAGTCTTTGTGTTTGTTTGATTAAAGAAACAATGTTTACTTCTAACGAAGTGGAATTGTTGTTGACTATTTTTATTGTCCTTACTCTGTAAAAATAGTAGTGTAGGCGACAGAAACTTCTAAAGGAATCCAAAACAGAAGGTGCAATGTATCGAAAGTACATTAAATATAAACGACGTGGGTACTAATTAGAAATACTCTGTGTGCCAGTGGTGATTTAATTGGAATCCGTCACGCAATGTTTTGTACAAAAACAAAGTTGCTGGAAAAGCTCAGCAGGTCTGGCAGCATCTGTGAAGGAGAAAACAGAGTTAACGTTTCGGGTCCGGTGACCCTTCCTCAGAATTGATAGTGGCTGGGAAAAAGTAAGTTTAAATGCAGAAAATAGGGAGGTAGGCGGGGTAAGGAGTAAACGATAGGATAGAGTCCGAAGAGAGAGGAAGACAGTTGGACAGACAAAGGAGTTGCTAACGATCAGGCTGGGAGAGTGAATAGTTGTTAATGGGGACTGTTAGTGACTAACATCAGAGAGTGTGTAATGGCAGGCTATGTGGTAACAAAGCCTGGTGTGTGGGTTGGGGGCTAGGACATGGGAGAGTTTAGGCCCTAAAATTATTGAACTCAATATTGAGTCCGGAGGGCTGTAGGGTCCCCAAGCGGAAAATGAGGTGTTGATCTTCCAGCTTGCGTTGGGCTTCACTGGAACACTGTCGCAAGCCATAGACAGAGATGCTGGCCAAGGAGCAGGGTGGTGCATTGACGTGGCAGGCAACAGCTAGTTCAGGGTCTTTTTTGCGAGTAGAACGTAGATGTCCTGCAAAGCGGTCGCCAAGTCTACGCTTCGTTTCCCCAGTGTAGAGGAGACCACATTGTGAGCAGCGAATGCGGTAGACTAGATTCTGGGAAGTGCAGGTGAAGTGTTGCTTCACCTGGAAGGTATGTTTAAGCCCTTGGATACTGGGGAGGGAGGAGATAAATGGGCAGGTGTTGCACCTTCGCCGGTTACAGGGGAAGGTGCCGTAGGGCTGTGGGAAGGTGTTGGAGGTGAAGAAAGTGTGGACCAGTGAGTCCCGGAGGGAACGGTCCCTGCGGAAGGCAGACAAGGAAGGGGAGGGAAATATGTGTCTGGTGGTGGCATCTTGGTGGAGGTAGCGGAAATGGCGTCTGATGATCTTCTGGATGTGGATGCTGGTGGGACGGTAGGTAAGGATCAGGGGAACCCTATCGCTGTAGCGGGAGGGAAGAGAAGGGGTGAGGGCGGAAGTGCGGGAGATGGGTCGGACCTGGTTGAGGGCTCTGTGGACAACGGAGCTGGGGAAACCTCGGTTGAGGAAGAAGGTGGACATTTCGGAGCTCCCTTGTCGAAGTTGGCCTCATCTGAACATATGCGACGGAGACGGAGGAACTGAGAGAATGGGACGGAGTCTTTACAGGAAGTGGGGTGTGAGGATATATAGTCCACTGTGGGAGTCAGTGGGTTTGTAATGGATATTAGTGGCCAGTCTATCCCCAAAATGGAAACAGAAATGTCGAGGAAGGGAGGGGAGGAGTCAGAGATAGACCAGGTGAAAGTGAGGGCAGGGTGGAAATTGGAAGCGAAATTGATGAAGTTTTCCAATTCCAGACGAGAGAGGGAAGCAGCACCGACGATATTATCGATGTATGGGAGAAAGAGTTGTGGGTGGGGGCCGGAATAGGACTGGAACAAGGAATGTTCCACATACCCCACGAAGAGACAGGCATAACTAGGGCCGATGCGGGTACCCATGGCAACCCCTCTTACCTGAAAAAAATGAGAGGAGTTGAAAGATAAGTTGTTGAGGGTAAGGATAAGCTCGGCCAAGCGGAGGAAGCTGGTGGTGGGTGGGGATGGTTCAGGTCTTTGCTCTAGGAAGAAGCAGAGAGCCCTAAGACCGTCCTGGTCGTGAATGGATGTGTAAAGGGATTGCACATCCATGGTGAAGAGGAGATGGCTGGAGCCAGTAAACTCGAAGTTTTGAAACCGGCGTAAGGCGTCAGATGAATCATGGATGTATGTGGG